CACACACACACATACACACACATACCACACACATACACACACACATACACACACACACATACACATACACATACACATACACATACACACACACACATACACACACATACACACACACACACCTTACTTTCAGGTATGGAAAGCAAGTTTTAAAATGCAGATAGTCCTACATGCCTTCACAGATGGATGGAAGCTGTTTTATTCTAGCACATCATTGATAGACCTTTTACTGTCAACTCATGATCATGTAGTCAAATATATCATTCCAAGTTCTGAATGACTTGGTGACTTCTGTCTTCCTTTGTGTGAGAAAAGGGACAGTGTCCCTCTTGGGAGAAAGGTGACCTCAGTAATCGGAACAGAAGAAAGGCAGGAACCCAGCACAAAGTTTGGCACAGGTTGGGTAATTGTGCCGGGTATAAGTTACTTCCCTTCCTCCATGGACACCCCCGATGCTTCTGTTTTATTCTGTTTTCACTTCTAGGTTTATGATTTTTAAAAAATCATAAACACATTTTGGGGGTTCCATAGGGGAATGCTTTCTGCAGAGGCAGAACTGATGAGTGACAGCACAAACATCCTGTATCATGTCCTCCAGGGTCCGTCCCTCTCCCCTGCCTATGTCCCCTGCCTAAGCCACACCAGAGCCATGGGCTTCTCAGGGCAGGGTGCATGTAGAGAAGCATGGTGCTTGGGAAACCACCAAATGCTAAGGATACTTCTGAATGACAGTATATCTAGCCAAGGGCTGCTGAAAAGAAGCACAACTCAGCAGCCTTCCTTGTCTTTTCCTGCACAGATCTCCAGTGACAGGTTTCTAAACCTCTCTTTAAGCTGTTTCCTGTGTCCCTTTTCATTGCCCCTACTCAGATTCCGATGCAGCTCCAAGAAAGTACTGAACATGTTTATTTCTAAGAAAATATCTTGGCCTGCATTTGCAGCAAAGCATCACTGTGCATGTGCAGGCCAGTGTTCCTTTGTGGTCTGCCTGTGAGAACTTGAGGGTTCATGAGATAATTGTCTTATCCTGCATGCAGCTGACTGCAGAGGAGATGTTGCTGCCACAAGGGATCTGAGCCATCAGAACATTTGGTTTCTAGTCTCCCAAGTCGTCTTTGTTTTTGATCGTGACATTTCTTCATGCTCAGATGCATACGTGATGTAACATTCTTTGTTGATGTACTGAAATGTGTTTTGGAGTTATTTTGGCTTAGCACAAAATAAGAATGGGGCTCTCAACTTTTCTGGTTGAAATGTTAATCTTGGTTTCTCCCCTGCTTTTCTGTACTATGTCTATTTGTAAAGCTTTAAACCCAAGACTGGTACTTAATAGACCTTAGCCACTTTTGTTGGAAACAGGGCAAATGAGAAATCTCTCTAGGGGATATGTGGGCCTTTCTTGAGGAGGGGAATATGCCCAAGGGGAGTTCCTTGCAGCCTAATTGTTGAGGAATGGTGGAAGTTCAGCGGCATGGAAATTCTACTTCTCGCTTCAGCTGGAAAGGTGCTTATGAAGGTAGTTGGGCTATTCTAGCAATTTGCCTTATTTTGAAAATCCAATTTAGGAGCTTCATTAAAGGGCACTAATTTAGTGTCTTAGGGGAATATGTGTTTTAAGGAGCTTGTCAACACAATCTTAGATGTTCACCAGTGTGTAGGTGAGCTCAACTCCCTAGGCTGGAGTTACCTAGTTACCTGCAAACTCCTGTATTTCAAACACAACACCAAATAAGCTCAAAGGTCCTCAGAGTAACAGTACCTCCATCTTCTCCTATTACTGCCTCCTACACTTACAGTTAGGATGCTCTTGGTGAATCTCTGCCACTGCCACTGTCACTATGAGTCTGTCATGTAGAGGTCCAATAAGGAAGAAAATGGCCTTAGTGAGTTTAGTGGCAAGTTAGTATATGTCAGACCACAGCCCTTAAAAAATGGTACCATTACAAATCATTTCAGGAAATACAAACACTTGCTGAATGCCTAGAAGAATATCTTATTGCTCACTACCTGCCTAAAATTCCCAAGAGTATATTTCAGTCCCACATTGGGACACAAAATTTTATAATTGGATAGTCGAATGTTAATTATCTACATGACCTAAAATAAACTTGTGCCTTCTGCAGTTCCTAGTTTGTTGACAAATATTATGAAAAAAGGTAGAAAATTTAGCCAAAGAAAATTAATGTTATTTTTCAGTATTCCCTCCATTTTCAAATATAGCTTAAGATCCATGAAATGTCACAATAATTTTTTTCATCATGTTTGTCTATATACTGTTAACAAATGGAAACATCCTGTTTTTTTTTTCTTCTATAGAATCACTGGGGTTTTTATTAAGAATACTGATTGAGTTCTCCCTTCCCCTATTCAATGGTTACAATTTCTAATCCAATTTATAGGATTGAGTTTTTTTTTTTTTTTTGTGAATTCCCAGAGTGAAATCAAATTTGTTGTCAAAGGCTTGGGTTGAAAACACACTGTTAAGGTTTCCTATCCTCTGTTCAGAAGATGCCTCAGCATGGGCCTGTCCAGAAGAGAAATCAACACTGACCCTATTTTCATGCAGTCTCAGTTAAATGAATTTATGACATACACAACTTAGCACAATTACCCCTGGATAAAAGTAGTTTTTTTCTGAACATGACTTGAGATAAAGGAAAGATAAGTGAATTAGAAACACTTTTAAAAGTTTTCCATTAAGTCCCAAATGGCTGGAAAATGCTTATCAAAATGTTCTTATAGATAACTGAGTAGGAGTGATGGAAATACAGAGAAAAATGACAGTCCTGAATTCTTTAGGTTGGTTTCTCTGAAACCTTATACATAGTTGGAAAATAACTATTTATTCATCAAGGGCCAGTCTAACCTTATTCTATTTTACAGCATTTTCTAGAAGTATACATATAATTTAAGATTTAGAACCAATATCTGAACATACATAAACATGGCCATACACCTGTCTGTGGAAGATATTTCTATAACAATGTGGAAACCACATCTCTTAATAAACAGTTTTCTAATGTCTGTCATTAGGAGTGGGTGAAATTAAAAAGATGTGGGATTTTCCTAACATGGTTTATGCTAGTTATTTATTTGTTGTCTATTCAAATGGAGTTACCAATTGCAGCTGGTAAAAGTTGCTTTTTCTCCTCTTCAATTTATTGTGGGATGGGCGTTCATTGCAACAGATCCATACTTATTCAGTGTCTACATTTCAGAAGCTGAATTGGTGGATATTGTCAAAATGAGCTTTGGCAATTCCATGCAGGAGTGCACAAACTATAATTTTGCTGCACATTAATAACAACCTAGCAAAGAAGCCCAGATTCAAATGCCTTGCTCTCAGCTGGGGGCAGAAAGCTCGAGTGGAATATCTTGGCTGGTGACCTATAATGTTGGAAAAGCAGCCTGTATAGTCATTCAGGAGGAGTAGGCGGTATTCCGGGAAATGTATTCACAATCCTTCACTACGCTTTTTTTTTTTTTTTTTTGATAGTGTACCCTGAGACAATGAAAAAAAAAAGTGAATTACAGATAATAAAAATAGTACATCTCCAAAACAAATGGCAATGGCAACCCTTTTATTTCTTCAGGTGTCAGCTCTGTTCCCAGCCCCATCCCTACCCTGCCTGGGTTCTGCTGAACGAAGTGATTCTCCAGCAGCGCCCGGTGGGCAGCCAGCCTTGCACAGGGAGGACACTAGGGCTGCGCGGCCGGACTGGTGGTGTTGCTCACAGCCAAAGCCGAGCATCTCCAAGAGCTCTAGGCTGGGATTCTCGCGAGTGGGGTGAGGTGTTTTGCTGTGGGTTTTTCTCTGCAGAGTTGGTCTGAAGAGTGAGCAAAGAGGAAGGAAAGGGAAAGAGGCTCGCCAAGTGTCCCCAGGAGTCTAGGAGGCATCAAGAGCGGTACGCATGGGGCTGGGGCGCCTGGGCGGGCGGGAGCCTGCTGGCTGGGAGCAAGAGGCGGTGTGCAGGGGCCGGGGCAGCGCGCCAGTTTTCTCTGATTAATGATGCTCACGCTGCCTCGAGTGGCTCATGCGCTTTGTCTCCAGCCTTGGGGCCGCCTGAGAACGGCCGGGAATGGGGAGCGCAGGGCGCAGCAAGCAGGTGCCTGCACTCAGGCTTGGCCAGAGCCGGCCGCGGCTACCTCCCGGGTGCGGTGGATCAGGAACCCGGCGGCTGTGGGGCCACGTGCAACACGCGCGGTGCCCTGCCCGGGCGGGGACCGGACGCACCCGCGGCTGCGGGGAGGAGCTGGGCGCCGCCCGGGAGCCGCGCCAGCCGCGTGGGAGGCACGGCCGGGCGGGGCAGGTGGCCCAAGCAGTCATTGGGGTGCGGGATCTGTGTCCATCGAGGCTGCTGAATCCAGTGGCACTGCAGAGGGACGGACAGGTGGAAGCAGCGGGACAGCCTGAGAGAGGGAGGACAGCCAGCAGAGAGAGGGAGCACTCAGGAAAGAGAGAGAGAGAGAGACAGAGAGAGAGCGCCAGCCAGCCCGCGCGCGCTCCCTCTCTGCAGACTCCCAGTGACCAAGGGAAGTGAGGGGCCAGGGCAGAGTAGGAAAGATCTGCGGGAACCGACCGCGGGAAGACGGACCCCGCATTGCTTGGTGGACCGAGGGACCTAGAGGGGAGGACAGACCGACGCGAGGACTGACAGCCGGCTAGAGCGGCAGCTTGGAGAGCAGAGCACAGCAGAGCGAGGCACCCGCGCTGAGCGGCCAGACTGACCGGCAGACAGCCAGACACACAGAAGAGCAGATGGACAGAAACGCGGGCCCGGGCGAGGCACTCGCTCGCTAGCTCGCTTTCCATGGCCAGCGGGCAGAGGCGGCGCCGCAGCCTTGGAGCGCATCCTGAGTAACGGCCACCCGGGGCCGCAGCCAGCGCTGTCCCCTCAACGCTGGCTGCCACTGCTGCGCGCGGAACCCAGCCCGCACGCAGAACCCTCATTTTATTAGCAGTTAAATAAATCTACCAAGGAACAACAAAAAAGGCAAGCCAACACCGAGCCAAACCAATCCTTAAGAAACAATAATATTAATAAAACCCAAAAAACTAAATCAACCAAGGCACCGAGACGCTGGTGGTGTATCAACTGTTCTGTCCAGGTAATAAGACGTCCGACATGAGCATGGCACGTCTTTTGTGGATTGTTTTTTCCTTCTGCCATAAGTCTGTGCTTTTCTTTTGAACTGTTTGTTTCTCGTGTGTGTTTCTTCATAGTGTGTGTAGAAAGCTGATGTTATCTGTGTACTGTGTTTTTATGTGTTGTGGAGGAATGGGTGGGCTTCCCTTCCCCCAAATCAGGCAGAAATGGAAAGCTGGAAGTAAATTGAAAAGGGCAGTGCTTTTCATCACCTAAGTTAACAGTGATTTGTGTAGATTTCATGGTAGGAAGTTTGGAATGCTCTTATTTTTTTTTTTTTTTTTGGAAAGAAAACTCTATTAGAAGGTAGAAAGTTATAATCAGTTTGTCCTGGCAGGACTGAGATCATGGGTCCCAAGAAGTTGGGTTGGTGGGGGAAGAGATTTTGTTTTATTTGTACTTGTTTGAAGTCTGTCTCATGACAATGTCCATTTGAAGGTCTTATGTCTCTGGTTGTAGATTTGTAAATATGGTAATAGAATTGAGTGGAACCAGACAGGTGTTTTTAAAAAGTTTCTGGGGAAGAACAATTGACTCAGTGTTTATGATACATAGAAATAAAGCTGGAGAGGGCATGTCAACTCCTCTAGTTCAGAACTTGATCACCTTGGAAGATACAGGATAAGGACACAGTTTAAGTTAAAAAGGAAAAACAGAGGGAAATGAAGCTTATAGGAATGAGAAGATGAGAGGTAAAGGTAGCGGGAATGCCTTTCTTGAGCATGTATCTAGAGTGTAGATAACCATTTGCTTTCAGATTTTTAAGTGTATTGATATGACACCAGCTTCTTCAAACAAGAGTAACATTCCCTGAAGTTAAAATGAATCTGTATAAAATTGTGCTCAAATGCAGAATAAATCAAAATGATTCTCACCCCTTCCTCACCTGCTTCAGGAATCAAAGCTGCTGTGATTGTTTTTAAGTAGAGAAGTGGAGATGGCAGGAAATTGTTTTTTATTTGGTAAAAGTCAGAATGCCATTGATGCAGATTTTAAAAGAAGTGTGCCTAGTCCTTTGATCCACTATATTTGTGTTAGCACAGGGCTTGAATGTCTTAATAGGATTTTAGCTAATGTCATTTTCATGAAAAACAGTCATTTGGAAGCTGAGAGCTCTATCTGTGCTGTGTTTTATTTGAAGAGCAAATGATCTGCTGTCTGAATAGGAATGCTTCTGCCGCATCCTAACAAGGGGCTGTATGTGAGAGATCATGTGTGTTTAATATAGGTTTTCAAGGTATGCATTCCTTTACTTTTGATCCTGTATTTCCTTCGTCATCACATTATTTTACTTTTTATCATTTTAACTAACAGGATAATTTTTAATTTTCTAGAGAAAGAGTTTAGTTGTTTTCTTTGAGGGATGTACTTCCTGATCCCAGAAGAATAATTTATTACTGTCTTTGCTTTATCTATATTATTATGTTTTGATGTAAACGCAATTTTAAAGATGTTTAGACTACTGGAATACATCTTAATTTATCCTTTCTGGGCTTGATTTATGTCATTTGAAAGATGAAATTAAGTGACTCTGGATGAATGCTTATTTAACAGAATACTTTGGCTGAGACATATTTAAAGAAACTTACACAGCTCCAGAAATTGACTTTCAGCTTGTTCAGTGACTTAATTTCACTCCATGCTAATTTCTCTTTTACCAAATTCAGCTCAGACCCAGACAGGTCTGTGTGTGCTGCTGGCTTCGCAAATTGCTGATCTCACAGTGAGTGACTTTTTCTCTCAGATCCCAATTGAGTATGGTTACCTTGAGAACTGTGGCATTAGCTCTGTGAGAGCATGCTCCGCTGGGGAGTTCTGTGCAGTCTATTTTTAATGCTATTTAATGAAGGAGCAAGCTCCTCACTCCGCAATAAAGGAAGCATGAGGAAAGACAGCAGTGCGTTGGTTATGAATACTGCAGAAGGATGTCTGGGAAGGTAAAGACTGGCTGCTGGTGTGGTGATTTGAAGTAGGTCCTAACATTGTATGAAGGAATCAACTGATTTTAGTGAGAGGATTATACACAAATAGTTTTATAAATGTTTCCAAACTCTTTTCACTAGTTCGTTCTTAGAAAGAAGACGAAATAATTTGAGTTCCTTAAAACTTGAAGGGCATACTAACTAAGGAGTTCCTGTATGCATACTATTTTTAATACAAACTGTAAGAATCTTGTATAGTGAGAAGTACAGAAATAATTTCAAATTCCTAAAACACTGTTTCAGCAGATGGTTTCGAGCTTATAAAATATCTGGGAATAAAATAAACAACATCTTAAAATACAATGATAACCTGAAGTTCTGCCTTGTAAATTGTTTCATTTTCTTTTATGAACTTGGAATCTTGGTCCAGAATTGTGGCAACTAAGTGAAACAGGAAGTTTTGTTTGAACTTAATAGGCTGTTTGAGTTGTTTTCACTCCTTAACTTTGAGAAAAACATCACAGATTGTCTTTCTAAGGCTAAATATTTAAAAAATATAGATCACAGAGGCAGTGTCGAGAACTTTGGGTTTGTTACAGAAAGAGGAGCGAAATATCTTAACATTGTCATGTGTAAGGTGCAAGAAGCCAGCTCTCTGCAACATTTTGCATATATACAGAACACCTGTCTTGAGGTAAAAAGTGAGACTGTTCAACCAGAAAAGTCTCCTTTGCTCATTTTCATATTAACAACATGCTGTAATCCAGTAACTTTTTTGTCTGTGTGAAGCTAATCAGACAAAAAGCTTAAGTAGTTTTTAAATTCATAAAACAGAATGTGAGCAGTTTATATTAAATGGAGAGGTAAGTAATATATTTATTAATGAAGCCGTTAGACCATACTAAGGTTGATCTGGATTTTGCCCATGTCCATGGGAAAATAAAATCCCTAAAATAAAATATTAAGGGAAATATGTTGTAAGGAGATCCTGTGATATTTTTTTGTTGTTGTTTGTCTTTTCAACTTGATACTTCTGTTAGAGCAAAATCATCCACACTGGCTATAGAATTTCCCTTAGTGGGCAGTCATTTGGATCCCAATGCTGATGCCTTTCTCAAGCCTTTCAAGTCAGTGAGCATTCTCATCTGAATTCAATGTGCATTTTGTGTTGGACAAGACAATGATAAGCTACCTGAACAGAGCGTGGACTGAGTCAGCCAGTGAAGGTACAATGTACAACAGAGCCAGATGTGAATATGATTGAGACTTACTTAGAATGAGGAGACAGTTTGAACGCTATAGGATCAGAAACTGCAAATTAACTGTTTGCATATTAGTCAGTTTAATGCGGATGTGGTTTGTGACAAGGTTAGGGAGGAACGTGGGGCTTAAAAGTGCTGTGGACACCAAAACCATCTCTTTAAAAGGTAAGTACTGGCATCATTCTAACTGGGACCACACGGTGGTGGCATGTTTAGAAATTTGTAAATCTGGTGGAATCACAAAAAGAATTGGCTTCCCTAAAAATTTATTGAATCACCTGGGAAGTTTGGGGGGTATTTTAAGTCATTGATGATGCACTTATGAAATATGTACTTCCTCTCTTAAGAAAAAAAGATCTTTATTTTTTTAGGAAGTATATGATTCTAGATGTTCTACATTTCTCTGGACTTTGCTTTCTTGACTATTTCACTTTCATTTCATGTTAAACATTAAAAATGGGTTTTAAGCAGTGATATAAATAAGTGCTGAGGGACTGAAGGTAATAAAAGAATACTGGCAAGATGCATGTCCTGTGACTGGACCTGTTTTTCTCAAGATATATTTGCTTTTGAGTGTTAGTTCCTTTTAAGATGCTTTATGCCAAGTTCTAATAAATTGATTTTTTTCAGCACCTCACTCTTATAATTTAGCTTAATTTGGTTCATGTTAGATTAATATTGGCCCTAGATATCAAAGTATTTATTGTTTGTATTTGCATCACAGCCATTTCATTTCTATGAGGATTAGATATGAGCTAAGATATGAAGTATTTCAATTATATGCACACTAAGCTTGATGAAGAATCAAGTACTTGAAATACAGTATCAAATTCATTCCACAGTTTTTAATATTAGCAGCTTTGTTATCTTATGGTCTCAAAATCCTCTGTGGTCTAACAGTATTTTTCATAGGGCATAAAATGTGCATGCTATATATTTTTTGATGCCACTTTCTCTAAAATTATTGGGACATGTCTGTGCTTTGGGAAAAAGCTGTGCAGGCAACCCCAAAAGTGAATTAAAATAATTACATTGGAGCAAAGGAAGGGATATTGAAAAACAAAGGAGTTGGCTTGAATATACCAAACTCATCTGTACTTTCAGATTGAATCCTCAGCATCAATTATGATTCTCTTTTGTAGCTGCCAGCATAGACCTTAGCATTGCCAGGTGGAATGTTAACCACTGTCTGTGCACAATAGATCAAAAATTTTTTTTTAATTTCTCTATGCACTTTTCCAAAGAAAACCTCTCTGGCAGTTTTTATAACCCCCACTTGATACACATGATAATGCGGCAGGTTTATAAGATCTTTATGTTTTAGATTCAAAATTAGGATTAAATTGCAATTGTGACTTATCAAAATACTGAAAGATTAATCCAGAATCATCTCACTCAAGGCATATATTCATAATTATTCCTCAGTCATAAATTTATAGAACATTTAAAAGGTTACATTTGTTCCTCTTATTAGCAACAAGAAATCATTTCATTTCTCTTGGTGAAGTGGTCGACTTTTACAAACAGGCCTTATACTACATTCTCAAATTGTACGCTACTTCAAAATCATACAACAATTCTTAATCTAGAAATCCGCTGTGGACAACATATGAATATTAAAATGGAAGCACTTCTTTAAATATCAACGTTTTAAACTAAAACTAAATTGTACTTAGTATTTTTAGTTTAAAGGGAAGATTCAAGATCTTTTTCTACTACTGCAACAATCAGATCATTTTTTAATTTCAAAAATTTTGGCAAATTCTGTAGAGGTTTAT